TCGTGTGTTCGAGGTTTACTGGTTCCATTGTGTGCCACAGCTACTGTGAATGTACACTGTACATTCACAGTAGCTGTGGCACAGTACAGTGTGGTCCTTTCTGTAATTGTCCTGGGGCTGGTGATGCAAAGGCAACCATGTGTGGCAATACGTGGTATACGTGCAATATCGTCCTCACAAAGCTTTGGCACGGGGAATTACAAAGAACACAAATGGAGTGCAGTTCCATCTGCATTAGCACAGAAATCCCCCCCGAGGATCCTCGGGTGCATTGAGCAACACTTCTCACTAACGTTTCCAATGCTAACTGGCAGGTATGTTACGTTGTCCAAAGAGTTGGCAGGCCAATCACAGCCTCAACAAAAGGACCATTGATGACGCACGGCTCAGGTTGCACTGGAAGAAACCAAAAAGAGCTAAATGATTAACACGAGTCCTGTTTAGTGACTCATTGAGGATATATTATTTTCTGAAGCCATGATACTGACTCTTTTAATACTTTTTTTTTTATCGTTAACAAACTAAATAATACAACATAATATCAACAAGGTGACTCTCCCAGTTTGTTTCATAAATACGTCGAACTGAAGGTCATTTAATTATCCTAAAAATAGCTCCTCTCTCCTTGAACTGCTTCCATATCAGGCATTATTTTGGACACACCTGCTTGAAATGTCACACTGCATCTTGGACAATACACGTGTTTTTCCTCTGAAACCTCCCCCCCCCCCCTCCCACTTACTGATGCAACTGTAGACACACACACTCCACAGTAATCAGTGATACAGGGGCACAGAGGGGAACCACAGTTGAATGCCAAACAAACACGTTAATGTTTCCGCTATAAAAGTTGCTAACTTAAGTTCATTGACCTTGATCTCTTGATCAGGAACTCACTTATTCTGGCTTTGAGCTCCATGTTGTGCTGCTTTGTGCAACGTAAAGCAGACAGTAAGCGGTGTGTGACTGTGACTCAACATGGAGATCTGCGTTCACTAAAAACATCACACATATTCCATCAAAGTTCCCATTGATCACCAAACATTTGAGGTGTACTTCTCTTGAGCTGCAGCTATTACTCTTTCCAGACGTAGGGCTACACACAGTTTGCTGTTTACAATGTGGAGGATGAACCTCAGCAAGCTGGAAAATCCACATCGTTCCTCCATGATGTTTTTGCTTCACTCTCACTTCCCTGTTTCGTGTTAAAAAAGAGAGCATAAAGAAGCTTTGTGTGTGCTGTGCAAAGCAAAGAAGAAGAAGACTGGAAGTACTTACTGTGGGGGTCGCTCTTCTCCCGGATTCCATCAACACCCCCGTCGGACTTTATCCTCAAGAAGAAGCCCCCGTTTTTACAGTACAGCCTTTTGGGATCCTTGAAGGCCCCGGGAGTGAAGCTGCCGCTGCCGCCGTCTTCAGGTGTGGAGGGAAGTGTTGTGATTTCTCCCGTGGCCATATCCTCCTCTTTCCCCGCTTCCCGGCGACTGCCTCGTCTCCTTCTGGAGCAGCGCAGGAGAACCCGCCGTGGCCTCCCACCTCCCACCGACTGCTGCCTGTTCCCTCCTCCCCTCCTCCACAGAGCTTCACACTGACTGATTCTGGTTAACCCCAGAGGTCAGTTTCTCTTGAACGCCCCCCTCTCAGGGCTGCAAGTGCCCTTTGGGTCCTGAGAGTCTGAGGCAGAAGGACTCCTAACGGCTAAACGTCTAAATCCACCATTAGTAGCTGCTCGTCCGTTGGTTTCTTGAGAGCGGGAAGCTGCTTTGCCAGTGTAGGATTCCCCCTCGCTTCCACTCTTCTTGCAATGAAGTGTTTAAATCAGGGCAGCTGGCTTAGATCTGTGTGGAAGGCTTTCCCCTTTGGGCCTCAGTTCGCATGCGCCCTAGGAGCACCAACAGACACACACACACACATACACGCCCACTAATGCTCTCTGATTTAACCAACCAACCCAGCAGAAGTCGAAGAGGTGCAAGGAGGGGGGACGTGGACTCACTGAGACCCTTCAGAGCGCCAAAAGAGCAGCGGTGAGCATGTGAACCGAAAACCAGCGTTTTCATTCACCCGATCCTTTTCAAGAGCTAGAGAAGAGAGATGTATAAAATAGAAAACCAGCACAGTCGGCTTTTTTTTTATCCCTCAGTGCTGTTCATGAGTGAAAAACAATGACGTGAAGGAGAAATGCCAGCAGACTTGAGATGAAAAAGTCGGCATCTTGAATCATGAAATCATGACTGATTTTAATTGCTACTCTAAACTTCCTCAGAAGCACCATAGTGGAGGATCAGAGGTGGGACTTATTTGTGCAGGAATCTGTTTTTTATTATATTTTAGGAGGGCAGCCATTTGCCAAAAAAGGCACTCACTGGTCTGGGCTTCTGGGTAAAATTGACCACACTTGCAACTTGTACTGGATCAGTAGAAAGTCAGCTGTGCTCTCGGTTGTGGTCATGTTGGTGACCCCCCCCCCCCCCCGAAACTGGTCAGGGACACATCTGACATCCAGCCAGGCAGAACGAGTGACTAAGTCCAGAGACTCGCATAGTTGTAAGACTTGTGGTCAAAACAGGAGTCCAACAGGAAGAGTTCACATGTATTTCCTGTATCAATGGAGAACACAGGGAAGTGTATCCGATCTTTAGACCGGGTGGTCTTTTTGGTCCTTTATCTCATCACAAAGGAAAAGTGCCAAGTATACCAGTACTGTTCTCCATTTACCCCTTCATAGTACAATCAAAATGCAAGAATTCTCCTTTTTAAAGGGAATTATAACCAAAAAACAGATTTTTGATGCACCGATCCCAGCCATGGTTTTCTTTGAACTAGCGACCTCATCGATCACAGACCTACTCCTCAGGCGTTCACTGAATACTTCTGTCTGCTTTGGAACATTTCGTTGACAAATCAAAACTTTAGCGGAGCAATTGTTGTCACCAAATATCATGCTAAGAATTCCCCTGTTTTCAAGATGTCAACTTAAAAAAGACAAAGCAGCCAAAATAGATGATAACTTAGACATAGCATACTATAGTCTTCGACATGTAGGATGTTTGTCTGAGGAAAACAAGATTTATAGTTTCTCTCTAAAAATGCATTTCCCGTGACACATTGTCGTATCAGTACGGCACCTGTTCCCAAACGGATCGCTTTATTCTAAAACCTGACAGAAGCTACCTTAGAGCTCCACACACATTCTGCTGCAGTGAAACCTGAAGATACAACTGTCGTTTTGTGAATACCAGTATGAATCAAACAAAACAAATACCAATCAAAAGCAAAACTTCACATGCCTTCAGTTGCTTTTTCCTCTCAAAATTTTAGAATAAAAAAAAACAGATTTTTTTAGTTATTTATAAATCTACTTTGAATATGCCCAAAATCAAATGAGCAGCCTCTGCTGTGAGCTAGAAATAACACCCTAAAACTGGATCATCTCACCCAACTCTGAGGCTTTGACATTAAAAGGTAATCTGCAAACGTGTGAAGCATGGGGGGGGGGACAATAAAACGTGGACTCGGCCTGAACTCTCAGATGTGTCACTGACTTCCCCGTTCCAGTTTCCTCCTCAGCGTTGTGTTTGTGGTGTTATGTTCACACCCCACCATCTCACTGCACCACCGCTGAGTCAAGGTTGTTATGGCCGATGTAACGTTTCTGTATTTCACGGAGCTATTTTGAGAAGCAACAAGACGCTCTCTCTCTCTCTGTTCTCAGAGGAAATGGAAGGTGTCACGTGTCGCCTCAGCTCACACCTTTAAAATGCAATGCCACAATAGGAAAAAGAATCTAAAGGTAACCAAGAGAGAGCTTCACTTTCATATGAACCGTCATTGCTTTCGGGTTGTTTTTGATTTTTCCAATGAGTAGACGTTTTTCTTCGGAATAACGAATGATGTGCTTTTGTATTTTGAAACTTACTAAAAAGTGTTGTGAAATAAGCCTGAATTCTGGATGAACTATAACTTTGGGCATCTGGTGTTAAAGAATAATATCATGTGGCCTTTCAATGATCAAATAGAACGGGAAATGTTACTAGAATTCAAAAAATAACCTCCGGAAGTTGTGATTACCTGTAGTTCTCTTGTTGAATGAACTAATAAGACTTAATCCTGTACTCTGTCTGGAGGCGTATACCTTCTCCCTCAAACATTACCATTATAACAGAGCAGGTCATAAACCACCACAGTGGGCAGGGAGACAGTGTCCAGTGTGAACAGTGTTAGCAGGCTGAGCACACAGAAGGAAGCGTAGGCAAAGATCATAAAGAACCAAGACTAGAAAACATACAAAGTTCCACCCGAGCTCCGTGAGAGGGAAATGTAAATGTGGTTTTGGACATGCACGATTTGTTTTCACTGGCTGGACTGAGTATGAAGACAAGGTGTGTACGAGTAGAGTCAGCTCAGTCACGCTTGGTCGATAAAACAAATAAACTGAACTTTGGGGTATCTCCTATGAGAATAGTACGCAGCACCTTTAAGAGAGAGAATATGATAACTAAGACTACAATTTAAATATGCAAATACATACTGACCGTACTTCATGATATTTAAGATGCTGTGCTCTTTTGGCATGGCTTTCCACATACCTGGAGGTCAGGATAGAAAACAATCAAATAAATATCACTTTAAACTCTGGAGGGGAAACAACATGTGGACACGTTACGTTTCATCAATGTTGTTTTGACCTTTTTGTGGTGTTTATCCAAAAGCATCTTAAGTCTCACCATTCAGGAACTACAGGCCAAATTCTCTTCCTTCTACTGACCTGCATCAGCTGAGAGACAGTCAGACAGACTGATGTGTCATACAATCATTTGTCTCCCCCAAGTGGCAGCATATAGGTAGCATTGCTTTACTTCCACTATTTATTGATGACAACAAAACAAACAGTATAAACACTTTATTCTACTTTCACTTTGTACCAGTCGTAAAAATAAACATATTTTAAACACGTGTGCCGTCTGAATAGACGCTGAGAAAGATGTGTACAGTCGAACATGACGGTCACAACAGCATCACATCTTCCTGTGGACCATCACTTTTTGGGTAGGTGCCTGTGATGACCTCTGCATCCGTCTGTAGGACCAGGAGAACCAGGTCTAAGGCTTTCCTCCATGCTTCCTGCTTCACACTCACATTATCATAGACCTGTGCTGCTGCTGCACCGTCCTCTTGTTCGTCTGCCAAGAACAGCTGTGAGAATGTTGCAGCAATGCCTTGACTTTGTGTACAGTCCTGCAGTTGTTGGCTCACTGCAGTCCTGGCTCTGACTTTTGAAACCTTCCCAGTGTTAACCATTACAGTGGATATGTAATCTATGAAACCATCTGCCATGAGGTGCAACACTAACCCCCTGTACGGGTTATGTGCTGTCCCTGCTCTGGTCTGTTGGACAGTGTGATGCTTTTGCTCCGCTTGCTTGTGAAGGTGATGAACACAAAGTATCTCTGTCACTCCGGCACCGGGCAGGAGGACTTTGTCTTTCAGCGTGTGGTGCAAACGATAAGCACACGCCCAAAACTGGTCCTCCAGGGCCTGCAGCTTGCCGTGCACACAGCTCGTGAGGATCACGGTGACCAACCCGCTGCTCTCTACGGTGGAAATGTTCACAGTTGTTGAGGGCTTCCTCTTGTGGCTGCTGAGGTTCCTCCAGATTGCAACCTTCACACCAGCGCCAACACAGTGCGTACTCAACTGTGTGGTGTAAGTCACCGGAACGGCTCCCGTCGCCTGAGCCAGCACCTTCAAAACGGAAGCCTTTGCTTTTTCCACCACAAGTATGTGATGTGTACAACAGCGCTGAATCACTTTCTCACTAGCGAGCCCACTGACGACGATCAGGTTCACCTCTAGGTTCAACAGAAGAGTCACAGTCTTTTCCATCCACTCTTCCTCTTTGGTTGAACTTGAAAAGTGCGACCGGTCACTCACACACTGCACACCCTTTAGCCTTTTAAAGCCAAGATGGCGATAGGTATCTGATAGATCTCCATTAATCAGAGCAACCTTCAAGTGCTGTTCTTTTAAGTGATGTGCAACTGAAGCCTGTTCATGAGATACAAGAACAATGCAGCCCTGCAGAACACACGCGTGCTCCTCTGGTAAACCGGGTAGCACACAAGTCACCACTTTAGTAACATCGAACGTAGAACAGCTGACATCTTGTGGGTTATTTCTTGATTGTATTCGGCTGGCTTCGACAACTAAAGTCATCGCACCGACACAACCGTGACTCAACCCCACAGAGATGTGTGCAATGTCAGGAAGCTTGGGCAGAGGAGGTTGCGGGACGTTTTCAGACTTGGTCTCATAAAAATGTCTGCTGAGCTTTATCTTCCTTTGTCCACTGGCAGTTAGAGTCTTGTCAGATGCTCGTGAAGCCTCCACAGTGGGTGTCTTTGACAGGTGAGGTCCTAAACCCTGAGATGTCGCAGTGCGGCTTTCTGATTGCGCCACACCAAGACCCTCGGTTGACACGCTGCATTTCCTGCAAACGTCCAAGCAGACATCCATTCCTTCAGACATAGCCGAGATGATGCGTGCCACTGGAACTCGTCTCTGAAGGCACTCCAGAGCAGCACGGCTCCACGCTCCCGCGAGGAACAGCAGGCATCCCGACCCCGTATGATAGGCCTTCTGGTGGGCTTGAACAGTCTCGTAAACCAGCTGACCCACCCCACAGGTCAGCTCCAGGTTCTCCAGGATGCGAAAACAGGAGCACGCGAGAGCCGACTCCCCGCTCGTTTCATCTTGGATGAACTTGTACTTTTTGTTGGGGCCCAAAGAGGAATGTGTGATTCCTGCCAGTGCTGAGAGCTTCTGCAGGCCAACATGTTGCCTGTGGTTGATAACTGTACTCGCCAGCATTACTTGAGGTGCCTGGACTGTAAAAGGACAAGAACGATAGTAACTAAGTACAGTAAGTTAAAATGTTGCTATACGCTACTGTACATGCACCTTTGCTTCATCACTGTACATTTCAGACAGAATCTTGTACATATATCTGACATCTATACTGTTATAACAAGCCTTAACATTTCAGGGAAAAAGGGAATACTTATTCCACCACTGTTAACATTTCTGGTCAACAACATAGATACAACTGCAGCTACAAGAGCTATGAATGAACATTGTTCAACACAAAACAATAACATCTAAATGAGCACGTGACTGTGAGAGATTAGCCTATATAGCTACCAGACAAGCAGCAGCCTGCACGCTAAGCTAACAGGCTAACGTCTTAAGAATAATAACTAAAATAACTAAACTAAACTAAAAATGAAAAACAAAAGATGCTTCTGCAAAACAAACGTTATCTCTCCATGCATAAAGGGTATAATATTACCTTATTTCATTATGTATTATAGTATAGTTATCGATGCCCACTGCCCAGCTGCCTCAGCATGAGCGATTAAACACTGCGCATGCGCTGTTTCCTGGTTGCTGGGGCGACAAGAAACGATCTCAACCATTGGCGCACACGGTTATAGCCCGCCCATTGCTTTTTTGCGATTGGCTACTATGTTTGCGTCACGGTGCTTCCGGGGTCTGTATTGGCTATCTCTCATGTCAATCAACAGAAGAAAAGAAAATAATACAACCGTTACTGCAAGTTTTGTTGACATCCGATCCGAGACACAACTGCAGCTTTCCCGGGCTGAATCATTCATTTAAATGGTATGTACCGGCATTTAAACGTAGTTTATGAATCTTACGCTGTATTAACATTTTGGGGAATTTTGAGATTTACCGTGAAAATAGTTTAAGACGCGTTTCTGTTGGGTCTCGTGCTGCAGCGTAGAAGCTAAAGTTAGCTAGCATGCTAGTAACAGCTAACTGAGTAGATGTGAACCAGCAACCACATCCTAATGTCGGTTTTTTGTTGTTTTTTTCAGGCTACAGGTTACCGGAAACCAGCTTCTTCGGCTGGCCAAAGGAAAAAGGCAGGTCCCCAAAAAGATCTGACTGAGGAGCAGAAGCAGGAAGTTAAAGAGGCTTTTGATCTGTTTGACACAGATGGCAGTGGAACAATAGATGTGAAGGAGCTCAAGGTCAGTTCCTGGGTTAGCATGGCTAACGGATCAGATGAAAAACAATGTGTGTGTGTGTGTGTGTGTGTGTGTGTGTGTGTGTGTGTGTGTGT